GACTAAAGCCTTTAGCTTGGCCTCTTTGTGTCTAAGCAGAGTCAAATTTAATTGTTTCCCTTTTAAAAGTGTTTTCTGCTAAGCTCCCAAAGGCCAGGGATGGAACAACTTGAGCAACAAAATAAATAATAAGAGTATTGGATTATAGCTTATAGAAGAAAATAGATATCCATAAGTGCATACTTACATAAATAAATAATAGAATACATTAGTAAATGGGAAAGAAGAGACAGTAGAATTCTAATCAATACATGTAGAAGGAATGAGAGAAACCGAAAATCACAATTAAGCATACACCAGTAATAATTTTTTCAGGTAGCATCCACCAGTGGATGCTAAAATTAGTGGACCAAAGTTTGAGGGGAAACAGGACATTTGTATAGTCTCAAAGTGTCTCTCCCAGGGTTATTAATTGCAGAGAGAAAAATCATAACTTTATAGTGAAAAATCCTGGCAGACACCACCATTACCACATGGTCAAGGTTAACATCACAGGGATTAGACATGTGGACATTATGTTCCCTGAGAAGGTGTATTAGTCAGGATTCTCCAGAGAAGCAGATATCATAAAAATATAAATATATTTATTATAAGGAATTGACTCACACAGTTTTGGATGCAGACAAGTTCCAAGACCTGCAGGATGAGTTGACAAGCTGCAGGTCCGGAAGAGCCAATGATGTAGTTCTAGTCTAATGCCAAAAGCTTAAGAACCAGAACTGACAGTGTAGTTCTGGTCTGAAGGCTGGCAGGTTTGAGACTGAGGAAGAGCCAGTGTTTCTGTTGGAGTCTGAAGGCAAGAAAAGCCACTGTCTCAGTTTGAAGGCAGTCAGGCAGAAGGAATTCTTTCTTGCTCAGGAGAGAGAGAAGGTCATCCCTTTTGTTATATTCAGGTCTTTAACTGGTTGAATGGGCCCACCCACATTAAAGAGAGCAATCTGTTTTACCCAATCTACCAATTTAAATGCTAATCTCATCCAGAAACATCCTCACAGAAACAGCTAGACTATTGTTTGAACAAATATCAGGGCACCCCGTAGCCCAGTCAAGGGAAGCATGAAATTAACCACCAGGGAAGTATACATTTTTACTTCTGTGGTACTCCTGCCAAAAATGCATGGTGTAATCTAATCATAAGAAAACCTTTGACAAGCTGAATTGATGGGCATTTTACAAAATACCTGAAAAGTATTCTTTAAAAGTGTTAAGGTTATGGAAGCCAAGGAAAGAACAAGGAACTTTAACAGTTAAGAGAACTTTCACAGACTAAGGAGACATAACCATAAAATACAATTGGAATCCTGGAACTAAAAAGGACCTTAGTTGAAAAATAATACAATTGGAATAGTTTATAGTGTAGTTAATAATATTAAGCTAATGATTAATTTATTAGTTTTGGTAAGTTTACTGTGGTTATGTAAAATGTTGATATTGTCAGAGACTGGTTGAAGGTTGAACTGTGCTATTTTTGCACCTTTTCTGACATTATTTCAGGGCCAGGTGTGGTAGCCCATGCCTGTAATTCTAACACTTTGAGAGGTTGAGGCTGGAGGATCATTGGAGCCCAGGAATTGCACACTGCAGTAAGCTATGATTATGTCACTGCACTCCAGCCTGGGTGATAGAGTGTTATTGTCTCTAAAAACTTCAAAATAAAAATTTAAAGATGCTTTCTGCCATCAGGTACTCTGAGGACTTTTTGATGACAGTATATTTTTATATTCTTTAAATTTTATAACTGTGCTGTGTGAGTGTATACAAAACCCCTCAGATATCTGTGATTTCCCCCCTTCTGTATTCTGTATTCCTGACCAAAGCACCCTTTTGTAAATTTTTCCGGTTTAACCTTCTTGCTGTTCCATGTGGTTTTTATCTCTGCGATGAAGACCCATGTGGTGTATTGTGGAAACAGAGAGCATGAACCGTTCAGGAGACCCTGTGCTGGCATTCTCAGTCGGATTCTGTTACTAACTCAGTGTCCATCTAATGATAATGTTCTGAGACCAAATGGCGAATTTTTGCTAAATGGTATATGTGCTAGTTGATGTATGGGTTTAAATGATTCTGTTTTAAATGACTTTTTTCTTTTCTTTTTTTGAACAAAATTTATTAGTGAAAGAAGAGAGAAAAGAAAGGGAGACATGTCAGAGCTGGTAAAAAACCTGCCGACTTTTTTCTTTTTATCAAGATCCTGTGTGCTCTATTTTTAGGGTTTCCCAATTTTTTATCCATATATTTATATTTTCATTTTACCCCGAAGTCTTTGGATTCTACCATAGACTTCACAATTATAGACTTTACTCAGGCATTTCCCCTAAGGGCCTCCTTTTTAGCAGTTTGAGGGGAACAATGTTTTATTTCTTCCTTTTTATATATTTTTTGATAAGAAAGGCATTGTTGCTTTTTTTTTTTTTTTAACTGTTTTTTTTTTTCTCTGAAGCTTGGGTAGCCCTTCTTATAACAGCCCTAAAGCCCTCTTGTGGCTTCCTCCTTGCAGGCTGTCCTGTGTTGGGGCCTTCACTGAGTCAATCTCTGGTACAATCCCGTAGGGAAGACTGTTTGGCCACCTGACTGATGCACCCCTCCTGCCCTAGCAGGACGGCATGAGGGCTGTGGGTAGGGTCCTCTGTCTGCATTCATTTAATGCTAGCAGGGACATGGCAGAGGCATGGAACCAGCAGGATCCACTAAGAAGAAGTAACTGACACTCTTGAGAAATGATAGCTAGATTTTCTTGATTATTTTTGTCCAGGTTGCATGGCCCCTTTATCTTTTCCCAGTATTTGGGTAGTAGGCTAAGATCTTGGGGTAAGGCTCAAATGATGGAGAAACTGATTGACAGTGGGAAGTAGCTAAGGCTCTAACATGGATGACTCTGCTGTCCTCACCAGAAAGGACAATTTGGTTAGGTTTCACATTTTGTACTAGCATAGGGTATTTTTTAGTCCTTATGGAATATGGTAGAAATGATTTGTTGGATCACATCCAGTTTTGTCTGTGTTACATTCATTTGTTAATTTGTGTTCTCATCTCCAGCCATTTTCCCCTCCCACTTTTCTTGTGCATTGTCATCAGATATTTAATTTCTTCAGCATGTCACTCAAGAATGGCTGAAATGAGTGGATATTCCTAGAGTGTAGTCTATGGAACTGGGCCAGGCAGTCCAGGCACATAGTAAACACGATGTAAGACTTTGTTAAATAAAAATAAGATTGCCAGGTGAGTGGTTCATACCTGTAATTACAGCACTTTGGGAGGCCAAGGTGGGAGGATTGCATGAGCCCAGGAGTTCAAGACCAGACTAGGCAACTCAGCGAGACCTCGTCTCTACAAAAACAAAAAAACAGGAAAAAAAAGCAAAACAAAAGAAAAATCAAAGAAACGACCATTACTTTCAAAGAGTTAGCCATTTAGCTGGAAAGACAAAATGCACAAATAAAAAACAGACTTTGTGTTGAGCATTATGGAAAAAACGCCACTCAAGAGGCCTGAGAGAACAGAGGCAGGGTGTATTTGCTGGGTGCCTCGCTTCAATCACCTCAGCTAGTCTTTCCATTTTATAGTTCAGGAAGTTGCTGTTAACAGGCATTAAATGTCTTCAAATCCTATAAGGTCATATGTGCAAGAGTGAGATGGGAACATGGGATGAATGAACTGAAAGATGCTGTTGCCGCCAGAAAGTTCTGAAAGGAGACTGGAGCTGGGCCTTGAAGGATGCATGAAGTGATCAGATAGAAGCAGTGAGCACATACAGGTTGTGGGGCAGAGAAAGGGGCACAGCGTGTGCAACGGTAGCAGTGGGATGCACCCAGCGTGCTGGGGAATGAGGGCAGCCCACAGGTTTGCTAGGGTAAGGGTGGAATGAGGGATACAGCTGGAAAGTGGGCTGGAGGCAGCATGTCATAGACCTTGAGTTTCAAGTTGAGTTTGGACGTGATTCCATAACTCACTTTATAAACCACTGAAGGTGTTTGAAAGGGAGCGCCCTGATAAGAAGAATGTCTCAAGAAATTGAAGTTCAGGTAGATTGTGGACTGGAACAGAGGAAGGGGAGACTGATATCGAGAACTAATGTGCATTGTGTCATTTCATCTTCACAATAACCCTAAGAAATAGACACTGTTAGTGTCAGCCCCTCTTTCCAGATGGGAAAACTGAGGTTTTGAGAGGTTAAGTGCTCACCAGGATTCCACAGTGAATAACAGTAGTGCCAGACATGAACCAAGTGGATCCATTTCCACCTGTGCTTCCTCCATATGCTACAGCATTTGACAGTAGCCTGGGAAACAGCCTGGGGCAATTTCAAGAGATTGGATGTGATAATCAGTGACAAGGACTGAACTAAGTCAGAAGTGGTAAAGAGGTGGGAGCAGTGGTATGAAACGTCCTTGCACAGATGTCTGAAGCCAGGGCTGAGCCTGTGACCTTGTAACTTCTCTTAGTGTTTCTCATGGAAGCTGGTCCTCAGCAGTGAGAACCAGGACGTGTGGGACTGGAGGTCATGACCAACCTTGCTTCCAGGCTCCTTAAGGAGCTTAGGCTTTTTGTTTCTCCTGGGGAAATGTGTTGAAATGAATAATGTAAGTGCTGAGGTTGACTGTGCTTTGTGTGGTTACTTTTGAGATATTTTAAGCACACTACCAAGTGTTCTCAAGCATCCCAGGCTTCAAATGACTAGAGTTTGGTATGAGGTGGTTCTTCCAGAGGCCTATTGGGAAGCATTTGTCCTCTTGTTCCATGAACACCTTTCCTTATCTGCTTGTTTTGCTGTTTCCTGCATTGCTACCCTAGGGGTGGGTATAGCACAGAATTGCTTAATTTGTTTTACTTTTGTTCTAACTTTTGTTTTTTGAAGAAAAAGGGCATGCATGCATTTTGACTCTGCAAAGCGTTTTGGTGCCCAGTTAAAGCGTGTATCACTAGAGTATGCTGAATGCTACTGTGATCCTGTGAGGGCACTGTGGACTAGTCCAGTGACTTCTCTGCTCTGTCTACTGCAGGTGATAAGAAGTACATCATGGGGCCCAAGCTTTCCACTCTTGATGCCACTGTCTTTGGACACTTGGCACAGGCGATGTGGACCTTACCAGGGACAAGACCGGAGCGACTGATCAAAGGTAAACCCTACATACTTCCTGAGGTTTTGAAGATTGCTGGGAATGGGTATGTAGGGGGGTAATACAGTGGGGAATTCTAGGCTGATGTTTAAAGCTTGACTGTGCTCTATGGAGATACCAGGCTATGGTGTCCGATGGCCAGGGTCAGCTCTCTGCGCACAGGACACATAGGAGTGGAGTCAAGAGCCTGGGCTTCCCACCTGCCATCTCGTCCAGCATCTTAGTAATGCTGACACAGATCCTGCCTTGTTTTTTTTTTTGAGTTGGAGTCTCACTCTGTCACCCACACTGGAGTGCAGTGGCTGCTTCCGGCCACCGCAGCCTCGACCTGCTGGGCTCCGGCAATCCTCCGCCTCAGCCTTCCAAGTAGCTGGAACTACAGGTGCGTGCTACCACGCCGAGCTAATTTTTGATTTTATTGTAGAGATGAGGTCTCACCAAGTTGCCCAGGCGGGTCTCGAACCCGCAGGCTCAGGCAATCCACTCACCTCAGCTTCCCAAAGTGCTGGGATTACAGGCTGAGCCACCGAGCCCGGCTCCTGCCTTGTTTTATGCCAGAGCTCTTCCATTTTCTTACATGATGGAACTTGCACTGTCACTGAAGCATGGCTTGAATTCTACCCAGAGTCCTTGCTTTGTTGGTCTTCCTTAATTTTCTTTGTACAGTGGTGGCTTCCTGCTTTCTGGCATATCTAGTGGTGTAGCAACCATGGTGGGCTAGGGCTGATGAACTCACTGCTCGTTTCAGATGCTCATTTTGAGTCTGAGCTTGTCTAGGATATTTCACACGGAGGTATAAGTACATATGATTCTGCCATTCACATTCAGACCTCTCCCTTTTCCTATTCAGGTGGGGTGGCTGTGGGTCACACACCGAGAGTAGTAGAGATAAGAAGTTTAAGACTGTAGGAAAATAAAAGAAAGTATCAACAAACACTTTGAAGTCTCACATTAGCTAAAACGTTATGATTAATATTATTACATGTTCATTTTGACCAAGGAAACACAATCTTGGTATCTTTCTGTGTGATCTTGGTTGTAAGACTTGTCAGACTGACAGGAGACATGAGGGAAAAGATTAGAAGTAGGGGAAAATGGGACCAGAGCTAGGGAATAAGCATATTGAGTGGATTTCGTTGCCAGGAGTAAAAATCATGGTGGCACTGGAGTAAGGAAAGATAGTTCACATTGTGGTGAAACATAAGGGACCAGCTCTTGGGGTGTGTGTGGGGGGGTAGTGAGATATAGAGATGGCCCCAACTTATGATGTTACAGCTTACGACTTTTCAACTTTAAGATGGTGTGAAAGTCACTCAATCAGTAGAAACCATACTTCAAATTTTGATCTTTTCCCAGGTTAGTGATATGTAGTAAGATATTATGACCTGGTGCTGGGCAGCGGCAGTGAGCCACGACTCTCAGTCAGCCACGTGATCGTGAGGGCAAATAAACCATAATCTGCAGTGTGCCGTGTTGCCAGCTGATTTTGCCCAACTGTAGGCTAATGTGAATGTTCAGAATACATTTAAGGTAGGTGAGGCTAAGCTATGATGTTTGGTAGATTATGGATATTAAGCACATTTTCAACTCCACACATACACACACACACGCACACATACACACACGCACACACACACACGCACACACACACACATTTTTGAAATGGAGTCCTGCTCTGTCGCCTAGACTGGAAAGCAGAGGCACGATCATAGCTTGCTGTAGGCGTGAACTTCTGGGTTCAAGAGATCCTCCTGCCTCAGCCTCCTGAGCTGGGACTACAGGTATGTGCCACCATGCCCAACTCATTTTTTAAAACTTTTTTGTGATGAGGTCTCACTATGCTGCCCAGGCTGGTTTTGAACTCCTGGCTTCAAGTGATCCTCCTGTCTCAGCCTCCTGAATAGCTGAGATAATAGGTGTGAGTCACTGTGCATGGCTAACTTTGGAAATCTTTAGCTTACAATGGGTTTATAGGGATGCAACCCCATGCAAGTTGAGGAACAACCAAACATGGCAGCCAAGGCTCCTGGGAGGTTCTTCTCCTGCACAGGTGGGTGGGAACTGTTTAAAGTCATCTTTTTTTTTTTTTGAGTTAAAGTCTCACTCTTTACTCTGTTTATCCTGCTGGACTCAAGCGATCCTTCTACCTCAGCCTCCCAAGTAGCTGGAACTACAGGTGTTCACCACCACTCCTGGCTAGTTTTTATTTATTTATTTATTGCAAAGACAAGGTCTTGCCATGTTGCCCAGGCTGGTCTCAAACCCCTGGACTCAGGCAATCCTCTTGCCTCAGCCTCCCAAAGTGCTGGAATTACAAGCATGAGCTACCATGCCTGGCTGAAAGTCATCTTCAGTTTGAAGCAGTAGCTAAACAAATGCCTGGGGACTGGGGATGTGGGGATCAAAGTTCAATATTTAGGTTTTGGGAGGAGGATTAACACGAGTGGAAGTGTTTATGCCCAACTGAGCAGTCTGGGGGTATAGACAAGATCACCAATGAAATAGCACTTAGAGTCCTCTTTTTTTTTTTTTTTTTTTTTTG